TTACATCTCACTCTGTTTTATGATATACCGTATATTGCTTTCGTTGAAGTTTTTGTCCTTCAGCTGAAGATGGTATTATGTCAAAGATAAATGTGAGTAACATTTGGTGTGTTGAAAGAAAATATTTAGTGGTCTAGGGCAAAATAAAATGTTGATTTCAAGACATTGGATGAAGGTTTGTGTGAAATAAAATGGTTTCCCACAAATTGCAGCTCATACACAGCCTTTATAAGCTTTCATTTGTCATGTTAAAACACGTAAACAAAGAAATGTCTCCATTTAAAACAATCTGTTTAGTGGCCATGTGATGAGCACTTATTGTTAATTTGTTATGCTGCTCCATAATCAGACCCTTGAGCAAGTAAAAGCAAAGCTATAATGTAGCTAAACAATGTCTAATCCATATAAATGTCATGACTTTGTAGATGAAGTTTGTAGCCACTGAGAATTTGCACAATCATGCTGATTATGAAACCAGGCCCATTTAAATTACATGACCAAAGTGGTGAGGTATGCTCTATGGCAGGAATGTCAAACTCCACGCGAGAGTTACTGCACCGCCCACAAAATGTACACTACAATACGGCCACTAAGTAAGGAATTGAGGTCAATGAGCATGTCTAATTTGGTCAACAAAAAAATACTTTTTTTCTACATGAGTCTTATTTGATTGAGTAGAAGTTGTGATGGTTAGGTTATGTATGCATTGATTGCATTTTGGCAACTGACCCAAAAATTACTATATCGCTGTGCCTGTTGTCAAAGAGATCGAGGACTCATGGATACAACCTGTTTTAGCATGGACATTGAGGGCTTCCACCATTTTGAAGTAGCCAACTAGGTGGGGTTCCTGAGTTTGCAGTAATCAGCCAATTTAAAAAAATTGACTACTTTAAAATGGAGATGGCACTGCCCATGCCATCAGGCGCTATAATGGCACAGATAAAGATGATTCCTATCTCTATGGCCTGTTCACATGCATTGGCTAGAATGGTCCCACCTGATCGCCTCCTGCCTTCCATCTTTGAGGACAATAGATTTCCATTGTTAGAGCAGTCACTAACAGCATGTCAATATAATTTCAATTTGTCTAAGTAGACAAACGGGTGAGGGGAGTTCCTAACTAATCAAGTACAATGGAGTAGTGAAAACCCACCAGGACAATGTTTTGGAACGTTCAAATAGAAATGTAACGTAGAACAAACATGGCTAATTTCATGGCATTTCTATCTGCAACGTTTGGCACATATGAACTGAACTAGTTATCATGCCAAGTTGTTGATTGGCTTAAGCCTTAAATAAATCCTATTAACTTCATGTAGGGTGAGAAGTATTTGTTTATCAGCAGCATCTTCCTAGCCAACAAGATCCATCTGAGGCAACACAGATACAATTTGTGTAGGCTATTCTATTTCCTATCTAGAGTTATCCTGGTTACTAAATTGTCTCAATTACCATTTGAATGGAGTAGGCCTGTCTTTTAATAGATTTGATGCAGGTACCATCACTGTCATGTAACATTTTCACATGAGGCAAGGATTGTTTTGTCAGTTGATATTTACTGACTATTGCATAAACTGTTGTATTTATGTCAAGAGACAAAATTGGTTCTGTTGATGGGACCAGAGAAGGGTAGAATATATACGTTTTACATAGAACGTATACTCATGTTGCAGTTATGGTTGTATCCAGCAGAGGGAAGCACATGCATAGTTAAACTTTCTCTCAGTTTTTAGCGATCTCATGGCCAATGGTAGCGATTGAGATCAGCTGTGCGGTTGATTTTAGCGCGTATTGATGGTTTAACGAAAGATCAGCTGGCGATAATCTGGTGGTCATCGACGTTTTTTAATGTAAGAAAACATGATCAATTAGTGGGTGTACTGCAACTACAGGCTGATGAGATTGTGTTTATTCAAGTGCCCAATCCACCAAAGGTCTAATGACTGTGTGTACATGTAAATCAATATCAATCTATCTACCCTACATACATGATGTAAACATACATGAGTCCAAGATCTGAGCCGTCCTATTTTTTTGTAAAGCATAGAAAATGCATCTGATTTTGTGCTGGTGTGCATGCAATTCATTATCAGCCTACCTCATTCAATATCAGCCTGCCTAAATCATGTATGTTAGTTGTGGAAGGTCTGAACCACCATATTTTCAAAGCAAAGTTTGTTTTTGAGTGTGTATGTCTGTTCATGTGTGTACAGTACATTGTGTGTGGGTGTCCTACTGCAAGGAGACACTGTTGTCTAGGCCTAGCCCAGCCATATCATCACTTATGAAGTTGTGGGCAGTGTCTGAGGGTACCTGTGGTTGTTGTATGCCAGGGTGACACCTGCCATAACCTGTATGGGGTTGACCGTTTGTCACAAATCATGTCTACAACCAAGCACAATGAAGGCAGTGGAACACTTGACAGTTGAGGTTAGGCATTGTTTATTCCAAAATAGAAAGCTTTAAGGCAAACAGACAGAGAAAAGTGAACAACAGTAGATAAAAAGCAACAGATGTGAGAGACCGAGAGAGCAGCTGTGACCCAACGGACCCCGAGCCTGAAACACTCAGTGGGTATCGAAGTCTCATCTCAGGTTTGAATTATACATTGGTGCAGGTTTTCCTGACTTGTGCAATAATATTAGAAAATAAGTTTGGAAAACATTCTTAAAAGCTGGACCTAGATCAGCCACAGTACTAGTCTTCCACTCCTCAAACAGAGGATCAATGTGCCATCTGTGAGGTCTGAGGATCCCAACTGCGCTCTTTTGATTAACGCGTGCAAAATATCCATGTTTTTAAAAAACTGAGTTTGTACTGTATCTCTGTCTGCCTAAGCACCATAATATCTATTTCAGTTCCATGTGATCGTGTTATAATAAGCATAGTGTACTGGATTGTGCACTTGAAAGAGTGACATTATGCTACTATTATAAATGATTAAAAAACATGAAACACTGTGGCAAAACTGGACTTGTTTGTAGAAAATCAGGGTACTGCAATCAATTACATGTGCGAGATGAAGTATATCTCAGTATATTTTAATTGCAACCAACTGCGATTGACAATGTAACATTACTATGCCAAGTCAGTTTCCTGCATTTTAGCTTCCATTGACTAATTTCACTATAGGTATATAGCTGCTCATCTAGTTAAGCTTTCTGCGCTGTAGTTAGGTCTTTAAAAAAATTACCTACATAAGGCCTTTTTCGTATCTCTTGTTTAAAACCAATTGACACATTTTGTTTCTCATTTGTCATCTTCAATATTTTGAAAACTTAATCAGACCCTGGTAAATAGGGCAACTAGCTTCAATAACAAACCATTTGTACATAAACATTCCATACAAAACGAGAACACAAAACAAAAAACACATACTTCTCATGTTCGTATATAAAAATAAGCATCTCTTTTCTCATGGGCTGTTGGGCCTATAGCGCTTGGCAGCTTGTAGTCCTAAAAAACGAAAATGAGTTAACATTTTCTACCTCTGGTTCATCGGGCATTCCTTTGGGGGAAAATAATGGGGGTTTTGGGATATACGCCGAAAATGAGGTCTGAGGTTTACGCAGGCTTACGAGATCTTATACATTTTGTTCTATGAGATAATATCAGTCAGTTAACATGAATTATGAAGCCTTTATGTGCTCAAAATATGTCAGTTACTAACGAATCGCCAACTGTCAGAGAACTGGAACTACATTAGTCACAAAATGTTTCACGTCACACTTTCTGCTTTACCAGCTCGAATGAAAATGCAAAGGATGGTCTATTGTTTTGTTCCAGGCTGCAACCATCTCTTCAGCAGGAATGTGCTCATTTTATCGATTCCCGAACGATGTTGTCCAGAGGAGACTTTGAGCCCATCTGATAAGGTAAACTAAGCCTGTTAGTTAGACGTCAAAGGCATGAGACCTGAGGCGTAGTTGTATTTTTTACATGTTAGGACATTAAGCTTTTTACTTGTTTTGATTACATAAATGCAGAAAAAAATTCAAATCACAAAAAGTTATGTTAGCTGATGATATTATCTCAAAGAACAAAATGTATAAGATCTCCTAAGCCTGTGTTTACCACAGACTTTATTTTCGGCATTTATATTTAAAAAAAACATTAATTTCCCCAATAGGCTTCAGCCGACTAGCCTTGGCGGCGTTAGCCTCCATTAGTGCCTACAAAAAGACGCCATTACTATTGCTCTCTAGACCCTTTCCCTGGCGCGTCATGAAAAGTTGGGTACGCAATTACTCGTCAGATACCTTGTTGTTTACCTTGCAGTGGATACGATCACATGCAACTTAAAATGCAGCTTGTGCAAGTTAACAAACATGTAATCAGATGGTTGTCGCCTATAGCCATCAGTCTTGCGTGTTTTCATGGTCATCACAAACTCACTGTTAATGTGTCATGGTCCCGACATCAGCGTTAGCTATCCTGCTACAGAGCTTCTAGATGTCGAACGGGACGTTCGACAGTAAAAAGAAAATGGCTCTATAGGGCCTGTCTGTAAGCCTGGGAGTCAGTCATGATCAGAGTGGGTAAAAGTCACAGGCATGCAAAGTGAACAAAACAAACCATTACTTGAAAGTGTTGGCATCCAAAAGGAGATTAAATAAAAAAATAAGAAAATCATTCAACATTTATTAACGGAGCGTACAAACTTGCTTCTGGGTGTATTTTTAAACACTTCATGATTTTTTTAGCTGCGTCCGTTCTTGCGTACAAAGACTACATAGTAAAAAACAGTTTCTGAAATGAAACTCCTCACACACAGCACACTCTGTTCAGTAAAGGGACATCAGGAGTGCTCCCGTACATCCTGTGGTTGTGCTCTGTGTAAACTGATTTAGAGAGTGTGTGTGCATGCGCAATGCAATATCAGTCTATCTACAGTACATACATGATCTGAGCCATCCTTTTTTTGGTGCATAACACATTGATCTGATTTTGTGCTAGTGTGTGTACGCAATTCATTATTAGTCTACATTATTCAATATCAGTCTGCCTTCATCATGTTTGTTCATTGTGAAAGGCCTGAACCACCATATTTTCAACAGAGCATACAAAGTTTGTTTTTGTCTGTGTATGTCTATTAGTGTTTGTGTGTGTTTATTTGTGTGTATTTGCGTGTGTGAGTCACAGGAGGTTGGTGGCACCTTCATTGGGGAGAATGGGCTCGTGGTAATGACTGGAGCAGAATAAATGGAATTGTATCAAATAAATTGCCATTCCATTTGCTCCATTCCGGCCATTATTATGTGCCGTTCTCCCATCAGCAGCCTCCTGTGGTGTGAGTGTACAGTATGTCTGTGTGTGTACAGTATGTCTGTGTGTGTGTCCTACTGAAGGGAGTCGCTGTTGTCCAGGCCCAGCCCAGTCATGTCATCATCATCGTCCTCCTCGTCCCTGCTGTCTCCTGATTCGTCCTCGCTGTGCCCGCCGATTATCACCTGCTGCACGGCCAGCGTGGCGCCGTCTGATGTAAGGCTCTGGAGACCCTCCACACTCATTGTCACCATGGTGCCTGGGGAACAGACGACCAGGAGAGGACACGTCAGCGACATTACATTTAGTTAGTCTCTTATTGAGAAATAAGTCGCTTTACCAAGAGAGCCTTGACTTTGCCTTGTGACTGAATTCGCCTTGTGGCCATCATTCCCAATACAGTAAGCGCTCTTGTGCCTAGTTGCTTTAAAAACAAGTATAGCCAACAGCTCTAGCAACTCGCAATACACAGCAGTGCTGATCCAATGAGCAGTGTAGCAAGCAAGTAGCCGTATGTACCGTCTGCCATCTGGACCCGTTGTTGGGTCATCCCTGTGGCGATAGAGTCAGGCCAGAAACGCTGTAGCGGCCGGTTCGGAGGCGGTTTCTTCTTGGTTTTGGCCATCTCCGAAGAGCTGGCGTCCAGCATGGGCTGCAGGATCCGCCTCCGCGCATTGATGAACCTGGAACGGAAGGAGAGATTGGACCCATCACGAGACAGGGAACAAGCGTGTTGACCAATCACTAAAAGGAAATTTAAGGGTTTGACACATTACTGGAGGTTCACTCTAGGAGAGGTCATTCTGTCATTTCATGCACTTAGGTGGTTGTTCATGGTAGTATGGCATGGGTTCATGTAACTCACCAGTTGTTGACCTGGAGGAGGCTCAGGTTAGTTTGTGTAGCGATCTGCTTCTTCTCATCCTCTGTGGGGTAGGGGTGCTATGGAAACAAAACAAAACAATTAAATACAATAGTAATTAAGTAGGGCAAGATTAAAACACTGCAATCCAACCAAATCCCAGAATCATTCCAGGTTGTAATCCAGAGTTGGCCTGTGTTCTACTCACCCCGATGTGCTGGAAGAGCCAGGAGCGCATGACATTGGTGGCTTGTTTGGGAAGGACGCCACGCTTGTTCTTGGACGAGCTGTCATCGTGGTTGAAGAAGCTCAGGTCCTGGTTGAGCTGCAGCTGAAGCTGAGAGAGAGAAAGAGAGAGGCGGTTACATTAGCACACTCTTCAGCAAGCAGTAAATGTCAGCATTCTATGTTTTAGTCCAGACAGATGTGTGTCTTACCTGTGTGTTCTGAATGTGTATAGTGTGGGGAGAGATGGTCTGTGACATCACCTGTCCCTGTGAGTTGACTACTGTGACAGGCTGGTACACTGTGCCACCTGGAGGACACAGACACACGTAAGGGCTGCTTTAAAGTGCAGGCACAGAGAAAGACTGTGAAACCAGCCGGTACACTAACAGTCCTACTGAGCTGAGGGCGGTGGGCAGTGGTGGTTGGTGTCTAAGGGTACCTGTGGTTGTTGTATGCCAGGGTGACATACCTGCCATAACCTGTGTGGGGTTGACTGTTGTCACAGTTACGTTGTCTTGCTGCAGGGCTGACGCTGGCACCACAATCCTCTGGGGACTGAGGGTTCCTTTGAAAGAGCTGGAGGTCTGCACAACACACACACACAGAACACACACACAGGTGAGTTAAACTGAGCCTTCATGGGTAAATAGAGTGTATACAGTGGGGGGAAAAAGTGTTTAGTCAGCCACCAATTGTGCAAGTTCTCCCACTTAAAAAGATGAGAGGCCTGTAATTTTCATCATAGGTACACGTCAACTATGACAGACAAATTGAGAAAAGAAAATCCAGAAAATCACATTGTAGGATTTTTTATGAATTTATTTGCAAATTATGGTGGAAAATAAGTATTTGGTCACCTACAAACAAGCAAGATTTCTGGCTCTCACAGACCTGTAACTTCTTCTTTAAGAGGCTCCTCTGTCCTCCACTCGTTACCTGTATTAATGGCACCTGTTTGAACTTGTTATCAGTATAAAAGACACCTGTCCACAACCTCAAACAGTCACACTCCAAACTCCACTATGGCCAAGACCAAAGAGCTGTCAAAGGACACCAGAAACAACATTGTAGACCTGCACCAGGCTGGGAAGACTGAATCTGCAATAGGTAAGCAGCTTGGTTTGAAGAAATCAACTGTGGGAGCAATTATTAGGAAATGGAAGACATACAAGACCACTGATAATCTCCCTCGATCTGGGGCTCCACGCAAGATCTCACCCTGTGGGGTCAAAATGATCACAAGAACGGTGAGCAAAAATCCCAGAACCACACGGAGGGACCTAGTGAATGACCTGCAGAGAGCTGGGACCAAAGTAACAAAGCCTACCATCAGTAACACACTACGCCGCCAGGGATTCAAATCCTGCAGTGCCAGACGTGTCCCCCTGCTTAAGCCAGTACATGTCCAGGCCCGTCTGAAGTTTGCTAGAGTGCATTTGGATGATCCAGAAGAGGATTGGGAGAATGTCATATGGTCAGATGAAACCAAAATATAACTTTTTGGTAAAAACTCAACTCGTCGTGTTTGGAGGACAAAGAATGCTGAGTTGCATCCAAAGAACACCATACCTACTGTGAAGCATGGGGGTGGAAACATCATGCTTTGGGGCTGTTTTTCTGCAAAGGGACCAGGACGACTGATCCGTGTAAAGGAAAGAATGAATGGGGCCATGTATCGTGAGATTTTGAGTGAAAACCTCCTTCCATCAGCAAGGGCATTGAAGATTAAACGTGGCTGGGTCTTTCAGCATGACAATGATCCCAAACACACCGCCCGGGCAACAAAGGGGTGGCTTCGTAAGAAGCATTTCAAGGTCCTGGAGTGGCCTAGCCAGTCTCCAGATCTCAACCCCATAGAAAATCTTTGGAGGGAGTTGAAAGTCCGTGTTTCCCAGCGACAGCCCCAAAACATCACTGCTCTAGAGGAGATCTGCATGGAGGAATGGGCCAAAATACCAGCAACAGTGTGTGAAAACCTTGTGAAGACTTACAGAAAACGTTTGACCTGTGTCATTGCCAACAAAGGGTATATAACAAAGTATTGAGAAACTTTTGTTATTGACCAAATACTTATTTTCCACCATAATTTGCAAATAAATTAATACAAAATCCTACAATGTGATTTTCTGGATTTTTTTCCCCTCATTTTGTCTGTCATGGTTGATGTGTACCTATGATGAAAATGACAGGCCTCTCTCATCTTTTTAAGTGGGAGAACATGCACCATTGGTGGCTGACTAAATACTTTTTTCCCCCACTGTATCCTATCAGGTGTATATGCTACATAGGGTGTGTCTGTGGTGGGTGTATAGCAAGAGTGTACGGTAGTAGGTAATGTTTATATGTATTGCGGATGTGTGTACCTGGGTCTTGGTGGGAGAGTAGCCCTGTCCAGGTGAGTAGGGGCTGCCAGGCTCTCCACTCAGCATGGTCTCGCTGTTCATCTTGGTCTTGAGGCAGGCGATGTAGCGGCTGCAGAAATCTTTACACAGGTCGCTCACCTTCTCCAGCTCTAGCAGGTGGATCCGCAGCACCTGGATGGCCTTCACCATCTGGGGTCAAAGGTCAGGGAGGGAAGAGGAGTTAGCAGAGGCAAGGACGTTTGCACTAAAAATGGCATGTATGTTGTCTGTAGTGTGTTACATAGTACATTAATTATTCCACTAGTAGCTACTTTGGTATAAGGCCTTTGTGTCGCGTGTAGCTCAGTTGGTAGAGCATGGCGCTTGCAACGCCAGGGCTGTGGTTTCGATTCCCACGGGGGGCCAGTATGAAAAAATAATAAACAAATAAAAATGTATGCACTCACTAACTAAGTCGCTCTGGATAAGAGCGTCTGTTAAATGACTAAAATGTAAATGTGTCATGCTATGTGTGTGTAATGTATGCCCAAATGGCTTTATTAACCCTTTGACATGAGTCAAACAACTCCAATGAAACAGTAGCTCACTTTGATGCGCTCAATACGGAAGTGGTCCGATGAAGCGGATGCTAAGATACAGGACTGTTTCTCTAACACAGACTGGAATATGTTCCGGGATCCATCTGATAACATTGAGGATTTTCCACATCAGTCACCGGCTTCATTAATAGGTGCAACAACAACGTCGACCCCAGTGACCAACCAGAAGCCATATCCCAACCATATTCCAAGCATATTCCATATCCCAACCAGAAGCCATGGATTACAGGCAACATCCGCACTGAGCTAAAGGCTAGAGCTGCCGCTTTCAAGGAGTGGGACACTAATCCGGACGCTTATAAAATGGGATTGCGCTTATAAATGGGACCACATCCCTCCCACCCTAATCAAACTCCACTGGCTCCCAGTTAAATACATGATCATCTTCAAATTGCTCATGCTCACCTACAGAGCACTCAATGGACTGGCCCCCACCTACCTTACTGACCTCCTGCACCCCTACACTCGCACCTGTTCACTGCGCTCCTCTGACACTGGCCTCCACACCATCCCTTGCACCAGGCTTCGCTCCCTGGGAGACCGGGCTTTTAGCAGTGCAGCCCTCCAACTCTGGAACTCCCTCCATCTCCATGTCAGAACCTCACAATCCATACACATATTCAAGTACACACTAAAGACACACCTCTTCACACAGGCTTACCTGGATTCTCTGTTGTCTTAGCTTTTATCCTCTGTCTAGTTCACTTACCTGGTTAGTCTGTCATCATGTTTAGTGTTCTCCATGGTTAATCTGTCCTTATGTTTAGTGTACTTTTATATACTTAATTCATGTGATTTTATTGCTTTTTATTCTACTGATTTTTTTGTTTCTTCTATGCTCGCTTCGAGGCAAGCAACACTGAACCATGCAGAGAGCACCAGCTGTTCCCAACTGTGTGATCTCGCTCACCGTAGCCAATGTGAGTAACATTCACAAGGCCGCGCGGGCCCAGACGGATTACTAGGACACGTACTCAGAGGCTAGGACACGAGGACTAGGACACGAGCCAATCAGAGGAGAGGGGACACACAGGACCAGAACACCAGGGCCCGATTCATAAAGCATCTCAGAGTAGAGGAGTGCTGATCTAGGATCAGGTCCCTCTTTATATTCATTATGATTTAAAAGGCAGATCCTAGATCAGCACTGCTACTCTGACTCTGTGAATACAGGCTCAGGACCAGAACACCAGACAGTGGAGAGAAAGTCTGTCAATCGTCTTAAGACCTGTAGCCTACTGTGAATAAACACTAACCCATTGTATCGTACAAGGTCATCAGTCATAGAATGTGCTGGATTTACCTTACTCCAGAGAGAAAAAAACTGTTCTACTGTTGTCATAAGTTACTCGTGTCAACAATATCCTAGTTATGAAAAAACAAAATGTATGCACTCACTAACTGTAAGTCGCTCTGGATAAGAGCGTCTGCTAAATGACTAAAATGTAAATGTAAAATGTACTCAGAGTAAGCGCTGACCCAGGCTGTAATACGTACGTTTCAAGCAGACCACCTTAGTCCCTGTGCCCAAGAACGCCAAGGTAACCTGTCTAAATGACTATCGCCCCGTAGCACTCACATCTGTAGCCATGAAATGCTTTGAAAGGCTGGTCATGGCTCACATCAACACAATCATCTCAGACACCCAATCCAATTCATATACCGCCCCAACAGATCCACAGATGACGCAATCTCTATTGCATTCCACACTGCCTTCTCCCACCTGGACAAGAGGAACGCCTACGTGAGAATGCGGTCATCAACTACAGCTCAGCATTCAACACCATAGTGCCCGCCAAGCTCATCACTAAGCTCAGGACCCTGGGACAGAACACCTCCCTCTGCAACTGGATGCTGGACTTCCTGATGGGCCACACCCAGGTGGTGAGGGTAGGCCAGAACACATCCGCCACGCTGACCCTCAGGGGTGCGTGCATAATAGTGCTGAGCGATTAACCAACATTTGTAATTTTTCTTTTTTTAAACAACTAATTGACCAATGTCAGTTTAATTATTTTAATTCCATTTTGTTCTGTTTTTTTCTTTCTGTGAGTTCAATGCACACATTGCAGTTTCTCTAGAGATAAATCAGATCAAGCTCGAACTGTGCGATGTAGTAGGGCGTTGAAGTTTCCAACAGGCCAATATTCTACATAGTTTAGCACAGAAAATGTGGTAATTAACTACAATGACCATAATCCTTTGCACGCCTACTTGTCCGTTCTGTATTTATTTTACTCCTGCTACGTTAGGTTAGTTTGGTGCAGACAAGGTGAGCGAGAGAAGAGAGAAGAATGCACGATCAAGAGGGAGATAAGAGCAGTTGCTTCACGAGGTATCTCTACCTGAAAATACACTGCTCAAAAAAATAAAGGGAACACTTAAACAACACAATGTAACTCCAAGTCAATCACACTTCTGTGAAATCAAACTGTCCACTTAGGAAGCAACACTGATTGACAATACATTTCACATGCTGTTGTGCAAATGGAATAGACAACAGGTGGAAATTATAGGCAATTAGCAAGACACCCCCAATAAAGGACTGGTTTTGCAGGTGGTGACCACAGACCACTTCTCAGTTCCTATGCTTCCTGGCTGATGTTTTGGTCACTTTTGAATGCTGGCGGTGCTTTCACTCTAGTGGTAGCATGAGACGGAGTGTACAACCCACACAAGTGGCTCAGGTAGTGCAGCTCATCCAGGATGGCACATCAATGCGAGCTGTGGCAAGAAGGTTTGCTGTGTCTGTCAGCGTAGTGTCCAGAGCATGGAGGCGCTACCAGGAGACAGGCCAGTACATCAGGAGACGTGGAGGAGGCCGTAGGAGGGCAACAACCCAGTAGCAGGACTGCTACCTCCGCCTTTGTGCAAGGAGGAGCAGGAGGAGCACTGCCAGAGCCCTGCAAAATGACCTCCAGCAGGCCACAAATGTGCATGTGTCTGCTCAAACGGTCAGAAACAGACTCCATGAGGGTGGTATGAGGGCCCGACATCCACAGGTGGGGGTTGTGCTTACAGCCCAACACTGTGCAGGACGTTTGGCATTTGCCAGAGAACACCAAGATTGGCAAATTCGCCACTGGCGCCCTGTGCTCTTCACAGATGAAAGCAGGTTCACACTGAGCACATGTGACAGACGTGACAGAGTCTGGAGACGCCGTGGAGAATGTTCTGCTGCCTGCAACATCCTCCAGCATGACCAGTTTGGCGGTGGGTCAGTTATGGTGTGGGGTGGCATTTCTTTGGGGGGGCCGCACAGCCCTCCATGTGCTCGCCAGAGGTAGCCTGACTGCCATTAGGTAACGAGATGAGATCGGCCCCAGTACATCTGCCTGCCATCCAGGACCTCTATACAAGGCGGTGTCAGAGGAAGGCTCTAAAACTTGTCAAAGACTCCAGCCACCCAAGACATAGACTGTTCTCTCTGCTACCGTACGGCAAGCGGTACCGATGCACAAAGTCTGGAACCAACAGGACCCTGAACAGCTTCTACCCCCAAGACATAAGACTGATAAATAGTTTGATTAATGGTTAACCAATATATAGCTACCCGGACTATCTGCATTGACCCTTTTTGCACTAACTCTTTTGACTCCTCACATACGCTGCTACAGCTTATTATCTATCCTCTTTCCTAGTCGTTCCTATGTACATATCTACCTCAATTACCTCGTACCCCTGCACATCAACTCGGTACTGGTACCCCGTGTATATAGCCAAGTTATCGTTACTCAGTGTGTACTTATTCCTTGTGTTATTATTTTTCTATTTTTTCTCTCTGCCTTGTTGGGAAGGGCACAAAAGTAAGCGTTTCACTGTTTGTCTACACCTGGCGTTTACGAAGCATGTGACATATGTGATTTGATTTGACATTTGATGTGTCAATTGCAGAAATTAGCGAATAGTGTCACTAGATGTCATAGTGATGCAAAATCATTCAAAGAGTATTGACAGCAGACGAGGGCGCTGACCAGATTGTCGAGGTCAGGGTCCTCGCTGAAGAATGCTTTGCCCTCTTTCTCCTGGCTGCGGACAAAGTTCTCGATGTCCACGTCAAAGCTGGCTGACGTGATGCAGTCTGAGCCCTGTGTAGACTGCTCACATTTCTCAAAGAGCTGGGCCAGAAGAGGAAACAAGGGATGCCTGCCACACACACACACACAAAGAGAAACATCACTAAATTGCTATTATCTACAGTTGTCAAATGTGGCCATTTCTACCCCATACTTTTAGTTAGGTAGGGCACAAAAGCCCGACAACATCTAGGACTGCCATCGTCAGCAACATTATCCTGTTTGAAAGTAGTTGAGGAGGGGGTTGGTTGACTAAATCTTTGGCAGGGGGCCAACAGAGTTAGGAGGTGTACCGGTATATGGAGGCCTTATCTACATCCAAGGGTGTCTGGGGTTCAGTGGGGTCAGGACTGGAAGCTGCAGCCAACCCCTCCTCATTGAACTTCTGATCATGATCAGCATCAATGTCCTTCTGCTCCACCCCCTGCATGAGGAGAGGAGAGAGAGATGACAGCAGAGTAAGGAGCAATAGTGGTGGACACGTAAAGCTCAGAACCCTTCCTCGACAATAAGGCTTGAGAAGATTGGTCTTGTTGGCATTGGCAATAGGTTTAGGTACTAAAATTAATCACAATAAATGCCATTTAGCAGACTCTTTTATCCAAAGCGACTTACAGTCATGCGTGCATACATTTTACGTATGGGTGTCCCGGGAATCAAACCCACTAGCGTGGTCTTGCAAGCACCATGCTCTACAAACTGAGCTACAGAGGACCACTGAGTATTTCAGTACAAAATGGAAAGGATATAGCCTAGCTTAACGATTCTAAAATTGGTGGATGATGCAGAGGTGTCCTGGCCATGTCAGTATCTCTTTGGTCTGCGCCAGAATATAAAGATAGGTGGTGGCATATCATATCATATTTAACCGTTATTGATAGCCACACCAAGCTTTAACTTGTGCTGCTTCATTCAGATCAACAGTTACATTAATTGATTGGAAGCCAACTTGCTCCTCCTCTCCTGCTTTTACAACATGCATACCAGCAGCTAGCCAGGCTCACTTCCAAGAACATAAATCCAATCTTCTACCATGTGACTGGAGCGACAATGACTTTGATTGAGCGCAAATGCGCAAAACAATTTTTTTCCCCTAGAGCTGAAAAATCTCAAGTTAGTCACATAGATATAGTGCCTTCAGAAAGTATTAACACCCCTTGACTTTTTCCACATTTTGTTGTGTTACAGCCTGCATTTAAAATGGATTACATTTAGATGTTGTGTCACTGATCTACACATAATACCCCATAATGTCAAAGTGGAATTATGTTTTTAGACATTTTTACAAATTACTATAAAGTGAAAAGCTGAAATGTCTTGAGTCAATTAGTATTCAACCCCTTTGTTATGGCAAGCCTAAATAACTTCAGGAGTAAAAATGTGCTTAACAAGTCAGATAATAAGTTGCATGGACTCGCTGTGTGCAATAATAGTGATTTTTGAATGACTACCTCATCTCTGTACCCCACACATACATTTATCTGTAAGGTCCCTCAGTCGAGCAGTGAATTTCAAACAAGTTCAACCACAAAAACCAGTGAGGTTTTCCAATGCCTCGCAAAGAAGGGCACCGATTGGTAGATGGGTAAAAAAAAGCAGACATTGAATATCCCTTTGAGCATGGTGAAGTTATTAATTCAATTTTGGATGGTGTATCAATACACCCAGTCACTACAAAGATACAGGCATCCTTCCTAACTCAGTTGACTGAGAGGAAGGAAACCGCTCAGGGATTTCACCATGAAGCCAATGGTGATTTTAAACCAGTTAGAGTTGGCCCCGTGTAGCTCAGTTGATAGAGCATAGCGCTTGCAACGCCAGGGTTGTGGGTTCGATTCCCACGGGGGGCCAGTATGAAGAAGAAGAAAAAAAAATTATGCACTCTGGATAAGATCGTCTGCTAAATGACTAAAATCTAAAAATGTAAATGGCTGTGATAGGAGAAAACTGAGGATGGATCAACAACATTGTAGTTACTCCTCAAAACGAACCTAAATGACCGAGTGAAAAGAAGGAAGCATGTGCAAATATACAATTATTCCATTATCCTGTTAGCAATTAGGCACTAAAGTAATACTGCAAAACATTTGGCAAAGAAGTTAACGTTTTGTCCTGAATACAAAGCATTACGTTTGGGGCAAATTCAACAACACATCACTGAGTACCATTCTTCATTTTCTAGCATGGTGGTGACTGCATCATGTTATGGGTATGCTTGTCATCGGCAAGGACTAGGGTGTTTTTAGGATAAAAAGAAAAGGAATAGAGATAAGCCCAGGCAAAGTCCAAGTGGAAAACCTGGTTCAGTCTGCTTTCCAACTGACACTGGGAGACAAATCCACCTTTCAACAGGACAATAACCTAAAACGCAAGGCTAAATATACACTGGAGTTACTTAACAAGACGACATTGAATGTTCCAGAGTGGTCTAGTTATAGTTCACTTAAAATTGGCTTGAAAATCTTTGGCAAGACTTGAAAATGGCTTTCTAGCAATGATCAACAACCAACTTGACAGAGCTTGAAGAATTTTTAAAAGAATAATGGGCAAATATTGTACAATCCAGGTTTGCAAAGCTCTTAGAGACTTACCCAGAAACACTCACAGCTGTAATCGTTGCCAAAGGTGATTCTAACATGTATTGACTCAGGGGGTTGAATACTTACCTAATCAAAATATGTTTTATTTTCCATTAATAAAAAATAAAAATAAATATTCCACTTTGACAGAGTATTTTGTGTAGATCCCACTTTGTAACAACACAATGTGGAAAAAGTCAACGGGTGTGAATACTTTCATCCTCCCCATCTCCTCACCCACACATTTTGCAATACCTGTCATTCTAAATGCATTAATGACAAACTATTACACTGTAATAAATCATTTACGGAATTAAAACATTAAAAAAGCTTTGTGGCAGGTAAAAATGACAATAGTTTTCCTACTTTCTTGCCATTGATGACGGATTAAAAACGTCAATTATCACCTCAAGAACTTCAAACCTTCCCTTCAACCACCCTTGTGGTTTCAGGCACAAAGCTGAGCGTCAGACTAAATTTGTCCTTCTGACCCACCTGCTGCTCTCCCTCCGTGTAATTGTCTATGGAAACTGATTGGGCAGCCATCATATTCACTGCAGACGCCGCAAACACTGAAGCATTATAAGGACGTGGAGCGTTGGCGGACCTAGAAAGAGACATAAACCCACACACCTTTGAGAATTAAAGACGGCTATTATTGTATCAATTACACCTGATGATAAATTGCGATTATTCTAATCCAGGGAAAATTCGAATTAAAATGTTAGTACTGATCCTGTACTGTGAATGGAGTAGGGTTGTGGAGGGAGAAAGTTGCTGCGCTTCAGTGAAAATCTATTTGAATGGTTCATGTAAATTGTTTTTCCTTCTGACAGGACAAATGCTGTAAACATGTTATCGTTGTTATAGTCTAAATACCAAAACATTCCACTTTTGTACTTCACAAACATTTCCATATTTCTATGAATGGAGCATAGCAAAGCTTGATTGTTCTGATACAGGTGGTCTTCTACTTTACTGCAATAACATATATAATCCAGCTGCCTATTTGACTGTACTGTCTGTGTTCAAAGAGAATGGAACAACATGAATCTCATGTCTACATCCAGATGAAAGGCTTTTGATGATTAGGGGAACACAATGTATCACGTTTATTCGCTTGCATTCGAAATGCTTTGTTCACTTTTTTAACTTGTGTTCAGCTACATACGATACGATGTAGCGAATTGACAAGAAAACGATGAAGATCAAACATACCCGTCTATCATAATGTTACACACCCACCACGTTGAATTTACTTGCTTTTCTCACTGCGGTGCTGGCGGCAACAAAGCTAGCTTGTTGGTGGTTTGTTAGCAAGGATGGAATTAGCTGTAAACCATGTGAAGGAAGGCGGTCGAGTGAGACAATTCAATTTTACAGAACGTTAGCTACATAGAAATGTTTACCTCTTCATATCCAGACTGTACGGTCGTTAGACAAAATAACACGCTACTGTAGCTAGTTCATTTGCGAAAACAGCTAACTAGTAACGTTAGCTAATTCATTTTGAGTTTTCTTTGACAATCTATTCGAAAACGACATCAAACGTATGTCAAATATAATATGCATCACCCCCTCTACGGACGAAACACCCACTGAAGCATCCTTGTTTTAAACGTTAGTTGACCACATTGAAGCTAACGTAGCTAGCAGAAGCACCATATTTACAGCAGCGTTTGCTACAGATTCGCTAGCCAGGCGCGCAAGATAACAAGCTAACATAAAATGTTGCTGGGTTAATGAAGTGCATATAAACGCGTAGTTCATCCAATATGTATGTACATTGTATTACAGTATTATTACTATTAAATACATGTCTCTAATTTTAGTTGGTTCTAACATCCTGCCCACGATAGTCAGTCAATCAAGCAAGCAAGGGACAGATGCCCATCCCTTCCATGCCCCTGTGCCACTCGCGCTTCAACTGATGGGGATAAAGCTGGGGCCTTGCTTCTAGCTAGCTCTCGCCCTTTCTTTTCCAGAATCCTTCTCTCCGCCCAAAACGCGGACATATTTTTTCCTCGGGTAAATTTCCATCTTCCTTGGCCCCGGCCATCTATTCACTGCCAAATAAGCTCCACTGGCCTGGCTGTGTCCCTAGCTTTTGCCCTAGGCATTTTTCTGTGCGTCCCAGATTGTTTGATTGATAGGGAACAGAAAAATATTTTGAGTGACAGCTTACCTGAGTGCCAATCTTCGTCACACTGACAAGCGGCTGCAGCAATGGGGACTCGCAGTTGTCGCGCTGCGTCATCGCGTATGGTCACGCAGGGTATTTCGCTCATGAATATTTATAAAGTAGGAGGAGAAGTCCGTTTGTGCCATTCTCCTCGCCCCTAGAATCTAGGCGCCCGGCTGGTAGCATGCCAGGCAAACTCTAAACCACTGCTGCTCTCTAGTTTAGTTCAATGAAAAATGAAAAGCCCCTTATAACAACTAAATTCATGTAATTAACTTGACTTTTACCAGTACCCATCCCCCTCCCACATCAGTGGGTATTATTACAGACAAAGAAGATCCATTCTTACATTTTAGTCATTTAGCAGATGCTCTTATCCAGAGCAACATACAGTTAGTGAGTGCATACATTTTCATACTTAATTCTTCTATGATGTGTATTGATTGTACTGATGTGATAATTAGGTCATACTGATGTGTACTGTACAATCAGCCCCAGAGTCAAAGTCGGGAGTAATTAAAATAGAACGTAGATTTTTAAAAATGTGCATGCACAGCACTATTCAAATGACCCCCTAAGGCAGATCCCAAAAAATAAGACATCTTTAATATTTTCCCCTTATTTTTACACGAGAAAAACCTCAAACAATACAAAAATCTCAAAGCCTCAGATCCCTTTTGTGTAGTTTAATATATTACATATAACAATTACAAGCACCTCTTAGGGATCGTAAAGTAGCGGGGGAAATCATTATTCTAAAAAGACACCCGTGTTGGGCAGCGGGGTCTGGGGACATGGGGTTGGGGTCATGTGGCCTGGTGTCCAGGCAGGCTGGGCCATCTCAGTGCCTGGGGGAGGGTCTGCCGGAGGAGGGCTGGGGCAGACGGTACTTGGCCATCTCCAGGTCCAGGTCTGCGAAGGTGTAATGGTTGTAGCTGTGGTGCTGGAGGTTCTTGTAAGTACTGTTGTCGAAAGGCTCGGGGGCTGGCGCTAGAGGTGCCTCTGCCGCCTCTGAAGGGGGTACAACACAAAAATGGGTATAAGAGACAAAGCACAGGCATACAGTGCCTTCGGAAAGTATTCAGACCCCTTGACCTTTTCCACATTTTGTTACGTTACAGCCTTATTCTAAAATGTTTTCATTTAATCAATTTCCTCAGCAACCTACTCACAATACCCCATAATGACGACGTGAAAACAGGTTCTTAGAATTTTTTGCTAATAAAAAAATAAAAAAACAAATACCTTATTTTATAAGTATTCAGACCCTTTGCTATGACACTCAAAATTGAGTTCAGGTGCATCATGTTTCCATTGATCATCCTTGAGATGTTTCTACAACTTGAAGTCCACTTGTGGTAAATTCAATTGACTGGACATGATTTGGAAAGGCACACATCTGTCTATATAAGATCCCACAGTTGACAGTGCATGTCAGAGCAAAAACCAAGTAATGAGGTGGAAGGAATTGTCCGTAGAGCTCCGGGACAGGATTGTGTCGAGGCACAGATCTGGGCAAGTGTGCCAAAAAAAATTCTGCAGCATTGAAGGTCACCAAGAACACAGTGGCCTCCATCATTCTTAAATGGAACAAGTTTGGAACCACCAAGACTCTTCCTAGAGCTGGCCGCCCGGCCAAACTGAGCAATCAGGAGAGAAGGGCCTTGGTCAGGGAGGGACCAAGAACCAGATGGTCACTCTGACAGAGCTCCAAAGTTCCTCTGTGGAGATGGGAGAACCTTCCAGAAGGACAACCATCCCTGCTGCTCTCCACCAATCAGGCCTTTATGGTAGAGTGGCCAGACGGAAGCCACTCTTCAGTAAATTGTAAATTTCAGCCCACTTGGAGTTTGCCAAAAGGCACCTAAAGACTCTCAGACAATGAGAAACATGATTCTCTGGTCTGATGAAACCAAGATTGAACTCTTTGGCCAGAATGCCAAGCGTCACGTCTGGAGGAAACCTGGCACCATCCCTACGGTGAAGCATGGTGGTGGCAGCATCATGCTGTGGGGATGTTTTTCAGCGGCAGGGACTGGGAGACTAGTCAGGATTGAGGGAAAGATGAACAGAGCAAAGTAGAGAGATCCTTGATGAAAACCTGCTCCAGAGCGCTAAGGACCTCAGACTGGGGCGAAGGTTCATCTTAAACAGGACAACAACCCTAAACACACAGCCAAGACAACGTAGGAGTGGCTTCAGGACAAGTCTCAATGTCCTTGAGTGGCCCAGCCAGAGCCCGGACTTGAACCCAATCTAACATCTCTGGAGAGACATGTAAATAGCTGTGCAGCAACGCTCCCCATCCAACTTGACATAGCTTGAGAGGATCTGCAGCAAAGAATGGGAGAAACTCACCAAATACAGGTGTGCCAAGCTTGTACTGTCATACCCAAGAAGACTCAAGGCTGTAATCGCTGCCAAAGGTGCTTCAATAAAGTACTGAGCAAAGGGTCTGAATACTTATGTAAATGTTAGTTTTATTTATTTATATAAATAACAATAATAAAAATATATATATATATATGTTTTTGCTTTGTCATTATGGGGTAGTGTGTGTAGATTGATGAGGGGGAAAAAATAATTTAAATCAATTTTAGAATACGGCTGTAACCTAACAAAATGTGGAAAAAGTCAAGGGGTTTGAATACTTTCCGAAGGCACTGGCTGGCTAGCAGGAAAAAACATATTTGCAGTCAGTATAGTCACTGGCCACAAAAAGTGATGCTTGATAAGATCTTAAAAGGCCGCAAATTTAAATATTTATAAGTTTGACAAAAGTAATTTATGTTGGGGCATTTCCTACAGTGGTAAGGATGTATCCCCCTATAGAGCCTGGAGTGAATGGCCTTAAAGGCCTCAGCATGCTTCAGTTCGGCTAGCGCCTAGCCGAACTCTGCTAGGTGAGCCGAACGAGTGTACTCGAAAAAAAGTGGCAATAGCACAGTTTGTCTATTTTGAGATGCTGTAGCCAGTATACACTTCCTCAAAATAGTCAGAATTAATCTAAGATAACTCAATAAATTTGTCATAAGAGCACCAACAGCCAATTAGAAAATGAATATTCCATACAAAAAAATATTATCCTTGAAGTAGGATTATTCTTGTCCATATCAAAAAGGTTTTATACACAGGTTGTCATGTTTTTGTTGAAAATACGAATTGGCTAAAACTCAGACCCTTATTAAAATACTACTGCAATATCGTAAGATGTTGACTAATGTCGTCATATTTTTGTTGGGGCAACTCGCCTATTGTAAACAGCAAAGAGGATTAACAGTCCCAAATCCAATCACACTGAAATAGACCAAGAAAGACACCTTCCACATCCAAATCATGTGCATATTCAAGACATTTTCATTAATTGATTGCATGCTTTAGCTTATCCCTACAATTCCAGTGCAAGAGAGAAAAAGTGAGAGAAAGAAGTGAAAGGAAACCAATGAGTGATCAATCACTCCCAGCTCCTGTTCTTCAAGCTGGAGTCAAGAGTGGGAGGCTGGTTCACTAACTTTACCATTCGCTTGTACACAGTAACCTTACCATAAGCTTGTACAACTGTAACCTTAGCCGACAACCCAGAACCGAAATACAATATACAAATGTGTCAATGAACAAGAGAGCATAATATCATATACCAAATACTGAAAATAAATATAAAACACTCTGGGAGTAGAGATTGAAAATATACTAGTCATAAGAGTGAGGAAACAGAGAAGGATTAGGGCGGCAGGTAGCTTAGTGGTTAAGAGAGTTGTGCCAGTAACCGAAAGGTCACTGGTTCTAATCCCTGAGCCGACTAGGTGAAAAATCTGTCGATGTGCCCTTGAGCAAGGCACTTAACCCTAATTGCTCCTGTAAGTCGCTCTGGATAAGAACGTCTGCTAAATGACTATGATGTAAAATGATTAGTTTAGTGCCATTTTTTGGTTGTGTGTGAAGATTCCAATGTGAGCCAGTAAAATAACATGTATCGCAGCCTCCTCCGAACATTCACAGTAACAATGTGATGGTGTGATTATATATATATATATATATATATATATATATATACACACACACAGTGGGGAGAACAAGTATTTGATATACTGCCGATTTTGCAGGTTTTCCTACTTACAAAGCATGTAGAGGTCTGTCATTTTTATCATAGGTACACTTCAACTGTGAGAGACGGAATCTAAAACAGAAATCCAGAAAATCACATTGTATGATTTTTAAGTAATTAATTTGCATTTTATTGCATGACATAAGTATTTGATCACCTACCAACCAGTAAGAATTCCGGGCTCTCACAGACCTGTTAGTTTTTCTTTAGAAAGCCCTCCTGTTCTCTACTCATTACCTGTATTAACTGCACCTGTTTGAACTCGCTACCTGTATAAAAAGACACCTGTCCACACACTCAATCAAACAGACTCCAACCTCTCCACAATGGCCAAGACCAGAGAGCTGTGTAAGAACATCAGGGATAAAATTGTAGACCTGCACAAGGCTGGGATGGGCTACAGGACAATAGGCAAGCAGCTTGGTGAGAAGGCAACAACTGTTGCCGCAATTATTAGAAAATGGAAGAAGTTCAAGATGACGGTCAATCACCCTCAGTCTGGGGCTCCATGCAAGATCTCACCTCGTGGGGCATCAATGATCATGAGGAAGGTGAGGGATCAGCCCAGAACTACACGGCAGGACATGGTCAATGACCTGAAGAGAGCTGGGACCACAGTCTCAAAGAAAACCATTAGTAACACACTACGCCGTCATGGATTAAAATCCTGCAGCGCACGCAAGGTCCCCCTGCTCAAGCCAGCGCATGTCCAGGCCCGTCTGAAGTTTGCCAATGACCATCTGGATGATCCAGAGGAGGAATGGGAGAAGGTCATGTGGTCTGATGAGACAAAAAGAGAGCTTTTTGGTCTAAACTCCACTCACCGTGTTTGGAGGAAGAAGAAGGATGAGTACAACCCCAAGAACACCATCCCAACCGTGAAGCATGGAGGTGGAAACATCATTCTTTGGGGATGCTTTTCTGCAAAGGGGACAGGACGACTGCACTGTATTGAGGGGAGGATGGATGGGGCCATGTATCGCGAGATCTTGGCCAACAACCTTCTTCCCTCAGTAAGAGCATTGAAGATGTGTCGTGGCTGGATCTTCCAGCATGACAATGACCCGAAACACACAGCCAGGGCAACTAAGGAGTGGCTCCGTAAAAAGCATCTCAAGGTCCTGGAGTGGCCTAGCCAGTCTCCAGACCTGAACCCAATAGAACATCTTTGGAGGGAGCTGAAAGTCCGTATTGCCCAGCGACAGCCCCGAAACCTGAAGGATCTGGAGAAGGTCTGTATGGAGGAGTGGGCCAAAATCCCTGCTGCAGTGTGTGCAAACCTGATCAAGACCTACAGGAAACGTATGATCTCTGTAATTGCAAACAAAGGTTTCTGTACCAAATATTAAGTTCTGCTTTTCTGATGTATCAAATACTTATGTCATGCAATAAAATGCAAATGAATTACTTAAAAATCATACAATGTGATTTTCTGGATTTTTGTTTTTAGATTCCGTCTCTCACAGTTGAAGTGTACCTATGCTAAAAATTACAGACCTCTACATGCTTTGTAAGTAGGAAAACCTGCAAAATCGGCAGTGTATCAAATACTTGTTCTCCCCACTGTATATATAATTGTTTTAATAAAAAGGCTATGTAAATAACATTCTATATGCAAATATAGATCCTAAGTCCCAACTGAGAACCATCAGTGCACAAGGAGAGAGGTAAATGCAAGGCAAGCAGGGCTGAGTTGAAATGCAGCATGTAATGCAAACATGCATTACATGAAGTAGCCTGAAGTAGCCAAAATGATCATGTTGTGTGAAATTAGGAGTCTACTTTCACTTTAAAATTTTGGTTTACACATGGCAAGAAAGCTAGCTACAACAAATTAAATGGCATAATAAAATTACTGGGAGAAAAAATTTTTATAAAGCTACAGCTAAAGCAAAAGCACTTATGTGAGGCACTTTACAGCGTATTAACATTTAACAGTACCGGTTATGAATAACAAAATGTAGAAGAAATATGGCCATCTGTGGTTGGAAAGGTCCACAGAGGAGAGAAATAGTAGGGTTTTATGGAGGTGTGGTGTATACCCTCAGAAGCCTCAATCGGTACTGCATCAGCCGGGGCCTCTGCAATCAGCTCCTCTCCTGCTGCTTCAGTCACTACAAGGGCGGTGTCTATCAGCTCCTCCGTAGCAGCTTCAGCTACAACAGGGGCGGCATTTACCAGCTCCTCTGTGCCAGCTTCAACTGGGGCAGCTTCAGCAACAGCCTCGGCTGGTGCAGCTTCTGCTGCGGCTTCAAGGGGGGCTTCTGACGCAGCTTCCACAGGAGCAGTTTCAGCAGCAGGACAGGCTTCAGTGACAACTTCTGCAGGAGCAGATTCAGATACTTCTTCCGCTGCTACTTGAGCCTCATGTGCAGCTTCTGGAACAACTTCTGGAGTGGCTTCTACTGCAGCCGCGACTTCTGGAGTGGTCACTTCAACCTCTGGGGCAGCAGCGATCTCAGGGGCAGCTTCAGCTGGGGCTGCTTCCAGGACTGGGGCGGGGTCAACCAGCTCAGCACTTTCAACCTCTGGAGTGGCCACTTGAACCTCTTCGGCTACATCTTCTGGTGCTTTTTCCTTAGCTTCAGGAACTGCATCCAGAGTCACTTCAGGTGTAGCTTCTTGCACAGCTTCAGCAGTGACCACAAGGTTGGCTTCAGAGGGCGCTGCCACCACTGCCTTCTCAGCTTTGCTGGCCACAGCCACGGCTTCCTTTTCTGCAGCTTCTTCTACTTGGATTTCTGGTTTTACCTTTGATTTCACTTCAGACTTCTCGTCATCAGAGTCAGAGTCAGAGTCTGAGTCTGAGTCAGAATCACTGGATGAGGAGGACGAATCAGCTGATGGGGCTCTGGGTTCAGTGGAGGCCGCAGTAGCCACTCCGGGTGGTTCGGCAGAGGCTGCTACAGAACTTAAAGCAACAACAAGCTCAGCGACTGGGGAAGCGGCATCCACGATTTCGGTGGTGGCATCAATCACAGGTGGAGCAGAATCGACGATGGGAGCAGCAATGTCAGCGACTGGGGCAGGTTTGGTGACAGCCTCCGCAACTGAAGGAGCCTCTGCCGCGACTGTTTCAAATGGGGCGGCTTCATTAGCAACAGCATTGGCGACTGGTGCAGCCTCTGCAACTGGTGCAGCGACTTCTACTACTGGTGTTTCTGGTGCTGCAGCCTCCTCTGCTACAGGAGCTGCAGTCTCTGCAACACTCTCAGAAGTAGGAGCAGACTCAGCCGCCTCTACAACTGGAGAAACTACATTGATAGCAGGACTAGCTATTTCTTCAGCCACAGCAATTTCAGCAGGCATAGCTTCGGCATGGCTTGTGGAAATGGGAGCTGGTTCTGCAGCTGCGGCAGCTGCAACTACTATTGTTTCGGCAGTGACAGGGCTAGCCATTGTTTCGATTTCACCTAGAGCCTGTGCTGGGAAAAGTCCTGAGGTTGAAAGCTTAATGGGGAAGGCAACTGCGGTCTTGTAGGCTAGTAGTGCTGCCCTCTCTTCTGAGGCCTCTAGGGCTGAGGAAATGGTAAATGGGACAGGTTACATAGAACTACCAATAACAAACAACATACAGAAAACTCACCTCCTAACCCCAATGCTTCTGTGGAACTCCAGAAGTACAATTGGCTTTAGGAAATGGTAATGATTTATCTGTAAGATTCCAGGAATTTGGTCATTGGAGAAAGTTTGTTGGCACATAGTTCGAATCAAGGAGATAATCCAAATGTGGGCTATACCAGAGAGAGAAATGTCATTCAAGATAAGCAATTTAGGGGAGAATAAGAAGGACCTAGCAATGGCACATAATATAAACCAGTGTTTCCCAACTCCAGTCCTTGAGTACCCCAACAGCACACGTTTCTTTTTACCCCAGACAAGCACACCGGAGTCAACCTGTCAACTAATCACCAAGCCCTCAATAAATTGAATCAGGTGAGTTTGTATGGGACTACAACCAAAATGTGATGTTGGGGGTTATCGAGGAGTTGGGAAACACTGACGTAAACAAAACAAAGGAATACCCGTACGCTTACTTGCAGCCTTCGCCTTTTTAACAGCTTTCTTTGGCTCCTCCGCCTTGGTGCAGAATGCAGCCACAGAGGGGCTCCTCAAAAGGCCCCAGCTCTCTCGCTGGAGCGCCTGCACAGAAATAAATGCATTCAATTGTTTTGCATTGTAAATGCATCGTTCATAAGCCTGGTGTCAGTCTATTTCTGCCCTCCTTATGGAATTGTCATGCTTACCATGTTTGGCATGACAAACAGATCTGAGACCAGCCTAAGCATCCATGCCATGGCTCAAGTTATCTAATGTGTCACCTAGCAAGTTGGGTAGCTTAACTCAGAATGAGCAGGTATTTTTATTATGCATTATAAATATGTCATCACTACAATTTATGTCTAAATAAAAAGCCATAGGTGAAGCCCAGTCTCAAAACGTGAGGATGGAAAGTATTATCTCTCTAGCTAACTTTAGCTAGCTAACTAGTAGTCCAACTCAGGTCAACAGGACGGTCGAAAAAAAAAACGGTTACGTTGATTACAAACCAATCAACTAAAGAATACATTATTTCTGAAATAATCGAAATGACAACTGAATAACAACATATTTAGACAATAACCAAAGCATATTACCTTGAGAGACCCCAGTCGTCCAAGCCGAAGTAAGGAGGTCGCCATTTTGGTTCTTCCTCTATTATTTTCTGTGTGGAAACCAATGACGTGTATATACACATCATTGGCGGAAACACGATCATCGTTTTTTAAATGGCGTTTGGCAACCAAAAGTTACATTACCGCCACCAACTAGACTGGAGAGTGTAAATCCATTACACTTTGTGATACAAAACGGGATAAAAATAATAATAATAACCTGCCAACTAACCCTTCACTTAATAAAACCCATCACCCCATTTCACTACTTTGCCTTCTTTTCTCCTCCGCCTTGGTGCAGGGTGCAGTTGCAGAGGGGCCTTGAGAACCTGCACAGCAATAAATGCATCCCATTGTTTTGCATTGTAAATGCAGCATTCATTAGCCTGGGTGTCTATTTCTGATCCTACCCCAGGCCAACAACCTGGGAGAATGGGACACTACCTTTCAACACTCCCTGGAACTCCTCAGCAGTACAATCTTGTAAACCCAAGTACTTTGCAGCAGCTGCCACCACAATACCTATTTTCTGTGATTTACATTCCATTTCTGCAGTATAGTTGATAACCATGGCAATGAACGCTAAAACGCCAACCTTACTGAAGTACATTTCATTCGTAGGCTTATTACTCTTGTTAGAAATTGCATAATTCAAATCTGGTATTGGAATAAGAATCAAGAGATCTTCAATCCAAGCTTAATTTATTATATGCAAAATGTATGTATGATAAGTATGAAGGTTCGTATATACGGGTCCACTGAAATACATCGCAGGGCACTCAGAGAACTAAACCATTGTTTACAGGTACTTTCTCAAATACTCTGACAGAGAGTTCCCACCTCTTCTGTTGGCCAATCAGAGTAAAGGACTGAGTGTGGTTTAGACTTTACTCAGCCAATCCATTGGCGCACGGGTTAGTCCCACCCCTTGGCGCTCCACCCCTTGGCGCTCCACCGTTCCCAGGCATAAGTTGCTATCATAATAACCTGTGGAGTCAGCACCCAAAAGACACCCCTCCAATCTGTACTCCATGTACCCACGTTCATGGACGGTTTCACAGACAACAAAGAGAGAGTGTTCGTATCTGTAAGAAATACAAGTCTTATCTGTCCTACCCCTAACGTTCCTTACATGAATAATAATAATAATAATAATATGCCATTTAGCAGACGCTTTTTATCCAAAGCGACTTACAGTCGTGCGTGCATACATTTTTGTGTATGGGTGGTCCCGGGGATCGAACCCACTACCTTGGCGTTACAAGCGCCGTGCTCTACCAGCTGAGCTACAGAGGACCACAGCCTGTTATGTGAAACAATTTATATCAGTATAGTACAAACCTATGCTCCTCATTAATGCATTCCTTCTAAGTTATTCATCACATACAGATCCAATTATGAGAAAAATAGAACCCAACACTCTGTACTGACAAAGGTCGACTATTCAACTGGAGCCTCTTAGGATCCCTCACCCATGACCCATCTTCCTCTACTCCCTTCACTGCCTCAGCATATAACACCCTCTTTACTACTCTGACCCTGGCAACCTCAACATTTACATTTTAGTCATTTAGCAGACGCTCTTATCAAGAGCGACTTACAGTTAGTGAATGCATCGTTTTTGTTTTGTTTTTTCCATACTGGCCCCCCGTGGGAAACGAACCCACATCCCTGCCGGCCAAACCCTCCCCTACCTTGGACGACGCTGGACCAATTGTGCGCCGCCCATGGGTCTCCCGGTTGCGACAGAGCCTGGACTCGAACCAGGATCTCTAGTGGCACAGCTAGCACTGCGATGCAGTGCCTTAGACCACTGCGCCACTCGGGAGTCAACCTCCTGCACACTTCTCACATCTAGGATATCCCTCCTGCACTGCTTTAACAAGACCATAAGCTTGGCACCTGAAACACCGTAGTGGGTTCAGAACAAAAGCTCTTACAAGATATGTCCTAACATTACTTTGTCAGGTAAAGACTCAGAATCAAAACTCAAAAGGACATTAATGCTAATTAGCCGCTAATGTGGCTATCATACAGAACTACATATCCTGTCGCAAACTTTGACATCATCCCTCTGGCTTTTGTAGCGAACTAGCTAATCTTAGTTCTCCCCATCAATCTGAAGCAAGGATGGTTCTGTGATATGTACCGGATTATAACCACTACTCCGATAATCACGTCTGCATTTTATCGTTTTCCGACCTCTGTAATCGAGTGGTGTCGCTGGAGCCATGTGATAAAGTAAGCCCTGTTTGCTAGCTGGTAACAAGCTATTTTGGTTAGGTCAAAGATCTGTGGTTAGCTACGTGCTTGTGAAAATTTGCTAGCTAGATAATGACCGACTGTAGTTACCTGTACAACACACGTTACCTTACTTACAAGTAAAAAGAAAACCAGCATAATGACTGTTGTGACCTTATTATTAAGTCCTTTGTGAGCTAGCCAGCTAGTTAACGTTAGCTCAGGGTTTGTGTAGCCTAACTAGCTAGCCCACCAGGCGATATTTAGCTAGCTAGCTATACCCTTGCCCTGGTGGGCTAGCTAGTTAGGCACCTTGGTTGGCTAGTTGGCTACATTAACTAACGTTGCACCACAGATAGGTTTAGTTATACAAATCTTTGATTGCACCGTATCTCACTGTGGTGTAATCAGACTTTCCTGACAGGCGGTGACATGCTAGCGAATGTGCCTAACGTTAGCGATTAGCGCTAACTAGCTAACGTTGTATATCCCTGACCTGGACTAGTTAGCATGTCACCACCCGTGTCTGACTACACAAACGATGCACTAATGTAACTAGGTAGCTAAATGTTAGCTAAATATTCCTGCCCTGGTCGGCTAACATTAGATAGCATGTCACCACGTGGAAAAGTGACTACACGAACAGTGAGCTAACATTAACTAGCTGGCTAGCTAGCTCACAAAGGACTTGTGGGCTCAATGTTTTCCCATACAAAACAAAAACAGTTTTGTTCCACTAAATAATCTGTTGTACATGACTAATCAAATGACCTGTGAAGTCAGTAATACATTGCATTCGGAAAGTATTCAGACCCCTTGACTTTTTCCACATTTTGTTAAGTTACAGCCATATTCTAAAATTGATTTATATTGTTTTTTCCCCTCATCAATCTACACACAATACCCCATAATGACAAAGCAAAAACTGTTTTTTAGATTTTTTTGCAAATATAAAAACCGTAAATATTACATTTACATAAGTATTAAGACCCTTTACTCAGTACTTTGTTGAAGCACCTTTGGCAGCGATTACAGCCTCAAGTCTTCTTGGGTATGACGCTACAAGCTTGGCACACCTGTATTTGGGGAGTTTCTCCCATTCTTCTCTGCAGATCCTCTCAAGCTCTGTCAGGTTGGATGGGGAGCGTCGCTGCACAGCTATTTTCAGGTCTCTCCAGAGATGTTAGATTGGGTTCAAGTCCGGGCTCTGGCTGGGCCACTCAAGGACATTCAGAGACTTGTCCTGAAGCCACTCCTGCTTTGTCTTGACTGTGTGCTTAGGGTCGTTGTCCTGTTGGAAGGTGAACCTTCTCCCCAGTCTGAGGTCCTGAGCGCTCTGGAGCAGGTTTTCATCAAGGATCTCTCTGTACTTTGCTCCGTTCATATTTCCCTTGATCCTGACTAGTCTCCCAGTCCCTGCTGCTGAAAAACATCCCCACAGCATGATGCTGCCACCACCCTTCACCGTAAGGATGGTGCCAGGTTTCCTCCAGACGTGACGCTTGGCATTCAGCCCAGAGAGTGCTGCAGAGATGGTTGTCCTTCTGGGTGGTTCTCTTGGGGACCTTCAATGCTGCAGACATTTTTTGGTACCCTTCCCCAGATCTGTGCCTCAACCCAATCCTGTCTCGGAGCTCTACGGACAATTCCTTCGACCTCATGGCTTGGTTTTTGCTCTGACATGCACTGTGAACTGTGGGACCTTATATAGACAGGTGTGTGCCTTTCCAAATTTACATTTACATTTTTACATTTTAGTCATTTAGCAGACGGTCTTATCCAGAGCGACTTACAGTTAGTGAATACATTTTTTTTTGTATACTGGCCCCCCGTGGGAATCGAACCCACAACCCTGGCGTTGCAAACAAAGTTGGAAGCACAGAATCGTCTAGAATGCCATTGTACGCTGTAGCGTTAAGATTTCCTTTCACTGGAACTAAGGGGCCTAGCATGAACCATGAAAAACAGCCCCAGACCATTATTCCTTCTCCACCAAACTTTACAGGTCGCACTATGCATTCGGGCAGGTAGCGTTCTACTGGCATCCACCAAACCCAGATTCGTCCATCGGACTGCCAGATGGTGAAGCGTGATTCATCACTTCAGAGAACGTATTTCCATTGCTCCAGAGTCCAATGGCGGCAAGCTTTACACCACTCCAGCCAACGCTTGGCATTGGACATGGTGATCTTAAGCTTGTGTGCGGCTGCTCGGCCATGGAAACCCAATTCATGAAGCTCCTGACGAACAGTTCTTGTGCTCTCTAGGAGAGGGGGCGACCTCGACAACTTATTGTTAAAACGAGAGGCTGTCGATCTTTAATTTAAAGACCCTTGCTCCCTTCGGTCTCAACGTAGACTTTGATGTGAAGCCATTCTTGTGATTTTGCTATTCATTGTAAATGTTTGTGGGTCTATGTAGCCAAGTATCTATGATCATATGCTACCCATGTTTTTTGTGTGTTGTTTTTATCTGTGAATTAACCAATGCTATTAGGCCACACCCGGCCATGATTAGACACCTGCGTGTTTCCTTTGACATTATATAAACTAGTGACCCGCAGTGTTTGTCATTACATCCTGATGAAGACAGCTTGTCTGTCGAAACGTTGGTTATTAGGATATTAAATTATTGCATCTGAGCTCCTAGAGTGTGCGGCTTTCCTTTTCTTTTTCAATTGTTTTACGCCGTCAGCCAGCACCTCGCCTAAATAGGTTTGTGTTTCTTTCGCCTTTATATTAGCTTGTGTGGTCTACCACTTCACGGCTGAGCCGTTGTCGATCCTAGACGTTTCCACTTCACAATATCAGCACTTACAGTTGACCGGGGAAGCTCTAGAAGGGCAGAAATTTGATGAACTGACTTGTTGGAAAGGTGGCATCCTATGACGGTGCCACGTTGAAAGTCACTGAGCTCTTCGTAAGGCCATTCTACTGCCAATGTTTTTCTATGAAGATTGCATGGCTGTGTGCTCGATTTTATACACCTGTCAGCAAGAAGCGGCTCCAATGGGCACGCTATCACCAACACTGGACAATTGAGTGGAAAAACGTTGCCTGGTCCAACAAATCCCGGTTCCTGTTGTGTCATGCTGCTGTCAGAGTCAGGATTTTACATAAGCAGCATGACTCCATGTCCCCATCCTGTCTGGTGTCAACGGTACAGGCTGTTGGCGATGGTGTGGGAAATATTTTCCTGGCACACGTTAGGGCCCTTGATACCTATTGAGCAACGTTTCCATGCCCTGAAGAATTCAGGCTGTTCTGGAGGCAAAGGGGGGTCCGACCCGGTACTAGATGGGTGTACCTAATAAACCGAGACACCCAGGAAGTATCCCATCCAGCCACTGATTGTATATGGGTAGTCTCTTGACTCAAGCATTGCATGTGAAGTACAATGATGACTTAGAAGATATTGGTCCACTTCGGATGAAAGATGCAACGGAGACAAAAGTAAAACAATATGGACCAGAGTTTATTTTTTCCCTTATCCAACTGAAACATTTCTGGATCATCATCCTATGCAAAAGCATATTTCACAGCTCAAAGTTCAGCATCAACTTGTCCTCCAACACATGCATCTAATACAGACTAATTCGCAGAGAATTTCTAGATATACGGAAACAGCTCTATCCCCCACATACAAAATGAATGTAAATTATTTTATAATTGATTTTATATAGTAGCCATTGTAATTTATTATTAGATGTTCGCTTCATAGAACAGATTCACAGGAAAAGGCAACAGTAGAAAAGATGACTGGTGATGTTTACTTCGGGGCAACTTCCTCCAACTTGGGCTCTGAACAGGGAGAGAAAGGGTGTGAGATGACAATTCTATATAAAGCATTTCAAAAAGGCTCATGGCCACCTTTATAAAACTACTAACCTGTGAACTTGAACTCTGGGAAAGCTGTGAGGTCTCCACCGCCATACAGCCTCTGGAGTTTAGTCAGCTCTTCTGCCAAGTTCTTCTCATATGCAGGGCCTGCATCTACCAAACCACCACTAGCCCTGAGAGAAAAATAGGCCTAAACGTCAGCTTGATGACAAAGGGGGTGATTGTAAGCAAGACCAAAGCACTAGCCACACAAAAAAACAGCTGTGTCACTTACGCGCTCTTTGAGGAATACTCGCGGATCGAATCCAGGAATAGCTTCTGGATTGGGTCCAGTTGAGCTGAGAGTCCAAGAAAAGAAAACAATTATTTTTTATTCATTCACAGACATTCCAACTATGACCATGCCCCTTTGGCTTAAACCACATGATTAAAAAAACAAATCACGTATGTGACCAAAACCCTCATGCACAAAAACAGCACCTGGGAGTGGTAGACAGTATGGCATCTACAGGGGTAAGAGAGGAAAGGATTGAGTGTGAAAGGTCAGGTAACAGGTTAAATAAGTTGCCGTGTCATGCTAGGCTTCACAAGTTCATAGCATCACTTGGCAGACACTGGGTTCTATATTTGAGATTGAGATGTCTAATTCAAATCCCTGCATAACAAATTCATGTACATTTAACATAAACATTGGACAACCTCTTCCCCTATTCTTGTTTGATTCCACACACAGCAACCAAGGTGCAAACTCAAACTCACTGAGTGCATTGACCACAAAGGGGATGGAAAGTTTACATTTCCAAAGTAATCTCATACAGCACCAAACAAATACAGAAGTGAGGGGATCAATTACAGATTACTGATATCATACAACTCCTGGGGAAAACAAGTGTGAGAGAAGTTGAGAGAAGAGAAGAGTAGGAAATCAGACCCCATTTCACAAGGTAATCCCTCAGTAGCTGCCCAGAGGCAACAGACTAGCCAAAACCCTGGTTGGTTAATATGACCATAACATTACTTTTGACAGTACACAGTGACTTCAGCATTAACCATACACATAATCTTTAACATAAGCACACCAAACAGTAGTTTTAATTATAAAAAAACAAAATTAGGGGTATCGAGGATCAAGTCTTTCTTGTAACAATATTTGGTGAAGGGAATAGAGGATATGAAATTGAGGATTTGTGCAAATAATAACTGAATTGGTAAAACAGGTAAATGACATCACAATGATCAAGTGAAAAAATAGAAGGGAGAGGCTGAGAAAAAGAACTTGCAGCAGACAGATGAGAGCAGTTCAGAATTAGTGAGTGCTGGAAAAACATGGCAAAATAAAGTGCAGAAAGACGCTGAGCCAAGCAGATCAGTGCAGGCCATCACAGATGAACCCCTGAGAAAATGATGATGCATGCAGATGAATGCAGTGGAAACATGCATCAGGAGTCGGATGGTCAAAGCAGTATGGTTACAAGTTAATGCACACAATCCCAGAATGACCCCAAATGCACAGAGGAGAATGGGGTTGTGTGGCTTGAGTCTACATGGCTGCAATGCTGTAGAAATGTGGTAGTTTAAGGGATAAATAGCAAAATAGATTATGTAGTAAATAAGCCCACTAAAAAAAGGTAAGCCAATAAGCTGCCCAATGCAAGAACGAAAAGCGCTTTTGTGATATCGGGTATCTTTACAACTTATCCTTAATGTTATAATATATTAACATCAAATGGGAATACAAATATGACTGTTGGTAGACTGTAGGGTCCACAGAGAGGAGAGAAGGGTTTGGGGGGGGGGGGGGGGGTGTGGTGTATACCCTCAGACGCCTCAGTCGGTACTGCATCAGCTGGGGCCTCTGCAATCAGCTCCTCTCCTGCAGCCTCTGCCACTACAGGGGCGGTGTCTACCAGCTCCTCGGTGGCAGCTTCAACTGGGGCTGCTTCAGCTACAACCTCTGCAGCAGCTTCAGCCACAACCTCCGCTACAACAGGGGCTTCAGCCGCAGCTTCAATGGGGGCAGCTTCAACTGGGTCAGCTTCTACTGGAGCCTCTGCTACGGTTTCAACAGGGGCTTCAGCCGCAGCTTCAACAGGGGCAGCTTCAGCAACAACTTCTGCTGGGGCTTCAGCTGCTGGTGCAACGGCCTCAACGGGGGCTTCGGCTGCAGGTGCGGCTTCAGCGGGTGCGGCGTCGACAACTGGAGCGGTTGCAGGTGCAGCTTCAACAGTGGGTGCGGCTTCGGGTACAGGGGCAACAGCTTCGGCAGGAGCTTCAACGACAGGGGCTGCTTCAGGTGCAACAACAGGGGCAGCTTCAGCTGCAATGGCTTCAACAACGGGGGCAGCTTCAGCTGCCGGAGCAGCGGCTGGAGCAGGGGCAGTTGCTGGAGCAGCGGCTTCAACGACGGGGGCGGCTTTAGCTGCAACAGCTTCAACAACGGGGGCTGCTTCAGCTGCAATGGCTTCAATAACGGGGGCGGTTTCAGCTGCCGGAGCTGTGGCTGGAGCAGGGGCAGCGGCAGCGGCTTCAACGACGGGGGCGGCTTCAGCTGCAATGGCTTCAACAACGAGGGCAGCTTCAGCTGCCGGAGCAGCAGCTGGAGCAGGGGCAGTGGCTGGAGCAGGGGCAGCGGCTGCTTCAGCTGCAACAGCTTCAGGTGCAGCAACAGGGGTAGCTTCAGCTGCAACAGCTTCAACAACGGGGGCGGCTTCAGCTGCAATGGCTTCAACAACGGGGGCGGCTTCAGCTGCCAGAGCAGTGGCTGGAGCAGGGGCAGCGGCTTCAACAGGGACGGCCTCGGCTGCAGGAGCGTCGGCTTCAGCAACTGCTTCATCGGAGGGGGCAACGGTTTCAACGACAGGTGTGGCTTCGACTGCAGCGGGAGCTGCTACAGCTTCAGCCGCAGTGGCGGCGACAATTGGCTCTGCGGCAACTGCTTCAACAACAGGTTTGGGGGTGGCAGCAAGTTCTGCTGCGGCAGCAGCTGCTGCTGCTGTTGCGTCTTTCTTGGGAAATTCCACATATGTTCTGTGTGGGACAAGCTTCTCTATATCGAAGTATGTTTTGCCCTGGGACTTTTCTAGGACGGAGGAGGGAGGGAAAAAAACACTGGATTTATTTATTTCTATTCATACTCTATGTAGTCTAAAAGGCTTGGACACCAACAAGCCCCAACTTTGCCATAGAAATGTGGACGAAACTTACCCAGCACAACATGGCTACCCCCAGTTTATTCAAGAATGTCCCTTTGCAAGACATATATGGTGACTAGACAAGTGCCAAATTTCAAGGAAGGGCACAAAAAGTGTAGCTGTAATGTTAAATGAGGGACCACAGGTGGCTGGTGGCACCTTAATTGGGGAGGACGGGCTCATAGTAATGGCTGGAATGGAGAGTACTTAATGGTATAAAAACAAACAGTTTGATACTAACCCATTCCAGACATTATTATGAGCCGTCCACCCCTCACACAGTTTCATAATTAAAGTGCTTATGTGCCACAAAACAACTTGGCCACTAGATAAAACTAACTTTCGTTGACCATTCAACTTATAAGAGGATAAAAGTATTTGAAAAATAACAGATTTATAGGCCTATCACTGAATGTTGAGAAAAAATGTATTTATTTTACATCATTTCATGTTGACACCTGGGGAAGGAAGACTTTAAATTCAAAATGTTCACCACAACTTAATATAAAAAAATGGTTGAACTAGCCAAGATATTTGCTCAAATTGTGGTACAAGTAGCCTGCAGAAATCAAATCTCTAGAAGATTCAGATTTGTTGTAGATTTTTCAGCCGTTAGGCTCCAAGGACAGGCCCCCAGAATGCTTGAGCGTCACTTTCCCTTCAGCATGTAGGCCTAGATGACTTCAGTTAATTAGATTATCATCTTCTTGACTTCAGCCAATTTCTTTGGCACCTATTGTACACAGCGTCTTCAGCATCTGAAAATGATTTTAAATGTATTCTGAGAGGCGATGTGGCAAACTTTTCTTCTATGCAACTTCATAATGAAAGTGCAGGTCAATATTCCGTAAAGGCAGGATAATAATAATAATAATAATAAGCCATTTAGCAGACGCTTTTATTATGGAGTGTTCATGATTGGTGCTGGAAATGTTTCACAATAGGAACCACGTCATTAAAAAAAGTCTCACTACAAATAGAAATCTTCCGGGACAAATGGGGTGGTCATGTCACTAGTGAGGTGTCTAATCAGATGAGCCATATTGGGGTGTTTATTCAGTCTTGCCATCACTGGGTCTCTTCATCCTCTTCTTCCTGGATCAACAGATGAATGCAGAACTGGGCCCTAGCATTACAGCTAAATGAAATATCTGGATGGTTCACTGCCAAGTCTCTCACTTTGTCATGGTGTGCCAAGTATTTGATGCCTTTGTAAAATATCCAACAAAATGTTTGTCAGTCTATTGATTTGCCTAATTATACTTGTACCACAATTTGAGCACTCACACTATGCTCAAGAATTGACATCTGCTCTAGTGATGGGAAGTTAGGATATTTTTACTGACTCTGATCTTTGTCTTGTTCAGTCAAAATAACAAATATTTCGACAAATTTAATTCATTTGAATCCGTAATGCCCAGAGCACGCAGGACACCCTTCTGGCGAACAATGAACTAAAAACTCAAAAGAGTCATGATTCTACAAGCCTCTCGTTCACGTGTTGTTCACCATAAGGGGGGCTTTATTGGAGCTGTCATTTGTGACAGACTTGTAAAAATGTGTGCTTAAAACAATGCATCGTAAAACTTCAATAAAACTCAGTCTCAAATAGCAGAGCATGGGGACATATTTCACCAAATAAAACGCAGGGTCAAAATGAATTGTTTACGAGGTTACCATGGACACAGCCTCTGATTATTGCCACGGTCATGTGCATTAAAAAAGGAAAATCATCAAATTCAAGCTAGCAGTGGTGAAATTCGCAGAGCAAGATTCTGTCGAGGCAACAGCCAGGCATTTTGGAATAGATCCAAAACAAGTGAGAATGGCGTAAAAAAAGTTGAAGAAAAAAAAGTTGAACTTCAAAGTTTAGGCGGTGGGCCGAAGCAAGCTATCTGCTTTAGCTTTCGAGATTTTTTTAGTCATTTTGCAGATGCTCTTATCCAGAGTGACTTACAGTTAGTGAGTGCTACATTATTATTATTTTTTTCATACTGCCCCCCCGTGGGAATCGAACCCACAACCCTGGCGTTGCAAACGCAATGCTCTACCAACTGAGCTACATCCCTGCCGGCCATTCCCTCCCCTACCCTGGACGACGCTGGGCCAAATGTACGCCGCCCCATGGGTCTCCCGGTCGCGGCT